CCTCCCCCCACATTTTTTATAATTAAAAATAAAATCTTAAAAAAAACTCTGCTGTAGGAAATACTGTTAAAGTTTCTTGGATAACTGTGTAGGCTTATATGACATTATTTATATAGATAATATTACCTTTCATAGAATGCTAATATATCTATGTTTTCTCAACCTATTGCCCTTGAGATCAACACTATTTGTGAACCTCAGAATATTAAAGTGGTCACAGTAGGGTAACTAACCTTCAGTGTAACTGAATCTCCAATTCTGGCTTTGTTTTCAGTGAGTTTATTCAGATACCCACTCAAATGGGATATGCACTGGTAATAAACAATTCATCTGGGAAACTTTGGTACCCATACCAGAATCTGGACATAAGTATCGGGTGAGAAATCTGACATTCAGGAAACTAAAGACACACTCACACTCAAGGTCATACAATAGGTTAGAGTTAAAATTAAAACTAGAACTGTTTAATCCTCAGGCTAAAGCCTATCCACAACCGTGAAATCAGCAAAGGAAATATTATCTTAACCTGTGAATAAGGCTTGATTACTCGGGCAGAGAGAATGGGCAGGCATGCTGACACTGTTCATAGTTTTAAAATCAGGTGGTAGTACAGATACTATGTCTAAAGTATTTACAACTATAACTCTTGTTCCTCTTTGCAGGTTTCTGAATGTTGAGCTCTGAAAAGCATTACTATGAGATCCCGTGATATATTCGATATATAAATAAGTATCAGCTCAACTTGAATCTCACCCTGTACCTAATAATTTTTATTGGGCAAAAGAATTATAAATTGGTCCATCTAAAAACTGAATAATTTCAAAATAAAACTAAGTTACTCAGAAACCATCATCTCAGGTACCTTCGTTCCTGTAGAAAATTAACAACTAGATATTTTAAAATAATCTCAGGTTCTTTTTGGGCCATCTACTCCTTCTTTTCACTCATATACAACTCTGTCTATTTGGAACCCTCGTTCTTACAAAATGCCACCAGAACAAGAATACCACGGTTTGAGGAACTAAGCTTGCAACTTTTTAGAATGAATCGAGACTGAAGGACAGGGAAAAATATACCTCTACAACGGAAAAATGTCTCAGATGATAAAAATAAGTGACAAACCGGATGGTGGGTACCACAAAAAAACTGAGAATTTCCATAAGATAAACACTAAGTAAAAAAAAAAAAAATCATACTTTTCAACAGAGACCAATTTACTAATATAGAGAACGTGAAGAACCAAGAAAAGCATAAACCTGGCGGGCCAAGACCTTACTTAGCACAGGATGTGTTATGGGTTGCAAGGATGAGAGGAAGCGTTCAACAATATAAATTAGAGCTCTTCTTTCCGATCTAAACGCACTTTAGTAAACTTTGGGTGGGATCTGGACAGGAAACCCCAGTTAATTCTCCTAAGCATCATTTAGCTAGAGTTGCAAGAAAGCAGAATGAATCCATCCTTTATCACTACAGAAAACGGCAACGTGAGGGGCACGAAGGAGGATGGTCAAGAATAAAGGCTTGACAAGGTCTGTCTCTAACCCTGTCCCGAGGAGCTCGATCGGTTCAAGGAGCCGAATATGGTTGCCTGGGAGGAGAGCCTGCAAGGGTAGGCGCAAAACCCCAGCCCCTCACGGCCACCCTTCCCCCGCTCACCTCTCTGAGCGCGACTTAACCGGGGCTGTCCGAGCCACTGCCGCCATCACCGCCGCCATCACTCGGCGTTCGCTCGCTCGCTCGCTCAAGTGCGGAAGGGAGGCCCGGCCACTCCCGCTCCTCGCGTAGCTCCCACCAGGCGGATGCCTCTCTGCCAGCGCCTTCCCCCGCCCCCGCTCAGTCAGCCCGGTGTCAGACTTGCCGCGGTCTCCGCCTGCTCTCCAGGGACCGCCACCACTTCCGGGTTCCGCTCCCACCTTTTCTTTCAGAGCCGCCCCAGCCGCCGGCTCTGGGCTCCGCGGCGGCGCGCCGCTAACGTCAACACCCGGCGACCTCGGTCAGGACCTGCGCTGGGCGGCGGCGGCGGCGGGGGCGGGCGCGCGCATGCGCACCGGGCCAGCGCGCCAGAGCGCGGGAAGCCGCTCCGTGCGAACTGCTCTTCCCTCGCACGGGAGGCTGCTGCACCCTTCCTGCTCCTTGTTCGCTTTGCCGGAGCCTGCAGAGGTGAAGCTTGTCAGCTCCCCGTCCGGCCGTGGCGTGCTGTTGCTCCTCGGGTGAGGGGAACGGGACTGCGTAGCGCGCAGAGGACCGACCTTCCGTCTGAAAATACTAGTTCATACAGAACCGTTCAGCTAGGCAAAGGGAAAGATGCCGGCCACACAGAAGCCCATGAGGTATGGACATACGGAAGGACACACCGACGTCTGTTTTGATGATTCTGGAAGGTAAGCGTCTTTGGAAATTTTAAAAAAAGGGACTACTGAGGTGTGAGTGTCAGCGGTCATTTACTGCACGTACAGACACCCCAAGATGACCGATGCGGAGGGAGAGAGGGAGAGGTGAACAGGACGTCTGTTTCCTGAGACTTGTTTGCCTTCAACTGTCGTGGGAAGTTAAAGTCCTCTTCCCAGAGGAGCGTCTTCTCGCCACTCACAGTTTCATTCGGTGTCACGTTCATTTCATGAGCTCGCTCACTGCATACTGCTTGTCAAATCCCTCAGCCCGTCGGGAATGGTAGCCTCCTTTGGCTTTAGTAATGTTATTTCTCTTTGTTCTCTTTCCTTCCCTTTTCTTTTTAACTTGCTGACTCCGAACCGACTTCGTTGTGTTTCATTCCTAAACTGTTATTTTACGAGGGCTATTCTCTTCTCTTTAGAAAAACAGAAGGTGTGTTTATTTTGTTTCATGTCTGTGTGTGTGTGGCTGAGTATATTTGAGCTGCCATGTGAGTGCTGGGAACCGAACCCAGGCCCTCTGAAAGAGCAGCAAGTGCTTGCAGGCCTGAGCCATCTCTCCAGCCCCCATGTTTCCCATTTATCTTTCTATGTGCCGTTCCTGTCAAGTACTGTTAAGTTGTGTGACCTCCAATGCCACACCTCTCTGTTCATTGATCCATAAAAAATATTTGTGAGTCTACCTTTCTGAGGGCTAGAGATAATGACAACAAGCCAGGACCATTTCCTTTATTGAAGTTAAGGTCTTCTTGGATTAATAGGCATCAGGCACAAATTAATTACAAAACACGTATATTTAGAAACACACTTAGAACTACTAAGTGATGTGTGCAGTGATAAGGATATGGTCAGGGAAGGTGTGGGTTAGAGGACAGAAAGCTTCTCTAAGGGCGTGTCCTGAAATGAGAACTGGAGATTGAGTAGGTATTAAGAAATAAAGATAGGCCAGGGATGTAGCTTAGTGATACTACATCCCCCAGCCTCCTGAAAAAGAAAGAAAAAAGAAATATAAAGAGTTGGAGGCATGGTGGTAGGGTGGTGATGTTGGCAGTGTATGTTCAAAAGCCCAGTAGAGCCAGGGGCCCTGCTTGCTTAAAAATGAAAAGGTATCCATAGTAGAAGGTGAAGTGCTGTTGAGCTTCGTGAGATGGCTCTGTGAAGGTGAACAGGGAGTGTCCTATGCAAGGCCTTCTGCTTTTCATCTTGCTTGGAGAGGGTGGGGAGATGGCCAACCAGAGTTCAGATGGGCCTGTGATACCAGTGGTTAGGAAGTGGAGGCAGGGGATTCTCAGAGCAAGCTAGACTACCTGAATTCATGTGTACTGGGTTCAAGAGAGATCCTGCCTCAGTATGTGAGAGCTATAGAGGAAAACATCTGATGTTAACCTCTGGCATTCACATGCTTGTGCCCACACATGCACCTGTACCCACACACATATGAACACACATAAACACAAGCGTACACACAACATACACACACACTTGTATGTACACACATAAGAATCTTGTTTTTGTCCTAACAGTGGGAAGGTCTTGAATGTTTGAAACAGAGTACAGCTATTCATAGAGTACATGCATGGAGGATGAATTAGTAGGAGATGCTTTGGTTAGTTGTGTGGCAGAAATGGACACTTAGAGTGGATATAAGCATGGAGAAAACAGGTAATCAATGGGATAATTCAGATGTTGAGGATAGAAAGATGTCTGATAGTATCTGCCTATCTGGATGTTATAGTTGAGGAAATTATGCTGTCGTTTGTAGGTACTGGAAATAGTTGACACTTGAAGAAGGGCGTGGTTTAGAGGGAGCAGGGAGTGCAGATAATGAGTTTGCCTTTGGACAAGGTTAGTGTAGGACTTCTTTGAGATGTTCAATGAGAAATGTAAAGAAAACATTTGGAAATCAGAAAAATGTGAGCGAGGGATAGAAATAGACATGCATATCTTTACTTGATGTCTGTCAGGGTCAGGATTGAAGTCGTGACTGGGAACATGAGTGGAGTTGTCAGCATGTGTATAGATAATCAATACCAATTGCCATTAATTTAGTTGAAATCACCTAGAGAGGAATGAGTATGGTGGGAAAAGAGTTCAAGGGCTAGGCCTAAAAATTTAGATATTACTTTAGAGGAGGGACAGCCCACCCCCAAGGAGACCTTAGAGGTGCCTAGAAAAAGAAGAGGGGGTAGTACCTGTATCAAGGGCCCTTGGTGGCCAAATTGAAAAAGAAGAGTAGATTTATTAACATGGAGGAAATCGAAGATCTTGTGTAAGTTTGGTGGGGCAGAAAGAATAGTTGGATTTGAGTCAGGAGAACAGAAGGGAAGGAATTGGAGTTAGTGAGGATGACATTGTCAGAGAATTGGATGGCATGTGGGGTCAGGTGAGAGATTATAACACGTATGTGTATGGAGATGATTTAATAGGGAATGAGGAGTTTATGGGTAGTGGGTATCCCGAGTAGGTGAGAAATTCACAAGTGTTAAGTGAAGGTAGAATGGAGAGTAATGTCAACCATAGACTCTGCTTTCTGAGTAAAGCTGGAAGCAGTCGTTTGAAGATGAGAAAGAAGTTGTTTGAAAGAAGAGGAGTAGGCATGAGACTAGGAGAGAAGCAGAGTCGATGGACTAGGGAGCATTAGAGGACATGACGTAAATGCCTTGTTTAGGGCTCAACACTGAGAAGTCACTTACCTACCTTGTGCATTCATGAGTCTCTGCATTCACTACTGTTCACTGGAAATACCGGCTTCTGTCATAAAGGCTGAAAGTAGCATCTGTAATGCACATAAATATTTGGAAGGCAGTTTAAGGTTATTCAGTTTAGCTAAGCAATAGTACTGAGTAACCTTCTGAAAGGGTTACTGTACCAGGAATGGGTTCCCCTTTGTGGAATAGATCTTGAATCCAAACATCACTTTGGTTACCCCCATCACTGCCATACACATATGTCCACACATATGCCTAGAAGCTGGTGTCCTAGAATCAGGGTCTCTTATAGCACAGGCTGGCAGGTGAAACCGACTGCCTCCCAGACACTGAGATTATAGCCTGGCTAAACACTTTCTTATGACCCCTTCTC